ATTCAAGACACCACTGTATTGAAAGTAGTTGGTTTTACACAGATCAGATAACTTTAAAAAATCAAATGGACAAATAGATTATTTCTTTAACAAAGTTTCATATTCCATGCTGGCTACTAACTTTTGTTCTCCAGAAGACAGAAGAGCAGGTGATCTTGACTAAGAAACCCTATTCTGTGAATCATCAGCATAAGCCTTCTGATAGCTAAGAGGGTATCTAGAGTTTCTTTGTGCTCCAGGCTATTTCAAAACAGGAAAAAAGGCTGCTTTTATAGTAAAGTCTACTGTTCCACAAGATGGAAGAATTTTAGTCAAGAGCTCCATCAAATAGATCAGAGGATATTTGCCACTGGGTAGGAAAAATTCTGAGACACAATTGTTTACTATTCCTTTATGAGCAAAATCAACTCACATGAAAATCTCTTAATGAAGAGGATTTAGGACTGATGAGAGTTTTTATTGCAGCTTCCTTCTGATGGGCCTAGTATAAGCACACAGACATTTCTGACCTCATTAACCTGATTGTGTGCAACATGATCAGCATAGCTTAAGGATGATTTGTAATACCAAATTCTTGTTCTGCACAAGGATCTTCTTTTGTAGGAGGCCATGCATTGGCTCTGCCCTCCATTTGTGACTCATATTCCTTGACCTTAGGCTATAAGCTTGCAAGGGGGAACCTTTGCTGTGTCCACATCTTTTCTGAATAATACTGGCTGGAAGATCAGGTTAAGAAAACAGAATTATCTGCATCAAGGATGGAGAGGCAAAACATGTGGCAAAAAATCAAAAATCTGAGGCACTGTCTCTGGAATGAAGATGATCTTTTGACTGGGGATAAAACATCACCCTCTGTGAAGCTGTGCCAACTTGTGTACAGCAAAACCAGCCAGCCCTTTAACAGTGGCTATCATTTTTAGCTTTGCACACTTACAGCATTCTCCAAACTTCCTTGCTCTTAGAAAGGTCAGGAGAGGACACGGTACTGACCATCTTTTTGAGGCGTAGCTGATTGACTTTTGAAAATGAGAATGACAAATATGCGCTTGATAGCAGATATGCTGATAAGCATGAATGCCCTACTCAGCATTCGGCTCCAGTGGCAGCTCCTGATTATAAGGGAAACTCAGGATTTAGGATGTATTTCCACAAAGGGTCGAGACTATAAAGGTGCTGAATACCCTTAATCTGCACACAGTTCAATGGAAACTGAAAGATTTCTAGGGTGTCCCTACATTACTCAGCCCTTAGCAGACTTAATCACCAGCAGATTTTCTTCTGTAGCTGTGCATATGCTATTTTTATGAAAACTACATCCTGATGCTTAGAGAAGTGACTGGGGAATAGCCTGTTACAACAAGAAAAGATCTTCCATAGAGCTTGACACCAGATAGAGACTTATATGAGAAATATCCTTGTGGTAATAATATCCCTGGGAAGCTGTTTTCAGAGCTTACATCTTAATTATTAGAACATCTTTTTCATCACACTTTTTAAATCTCTTTTACATTAATGTAATGGAAAAGAGCAAATTTGCAAAACGTCTCTGGGAAATGAACAATGCACATGTTTTTCTTAAGCTAAGCAAAAGGCATAAGCCAAATGCCTATGTGTACAGAAGGAATCTCCTTCATGCGCTTCAGAAAGCAAAACACGACCTTGTGAAATAAACAAAGAACAGATAATACAGTGAAAATGAAGTGTCTCTTCCCACAGTGTATGACTCTAAGAGTTCATTAAGACTTAGATCTATTTCTAATCTAATCTTTCAAACATTTATATCAAAATGGTTGAAATTGCTAAACTTGTCTTTGACCTATTATTATTTTTTAAATTTTGAATGTATTGAACATCCATCCCTAGGGATTCTAAGAGAATTTACAGATATAAATTTATTAATCTTCCTCCCCTCCTGTGAAGTACTTGAGTACTTGTATCCTATTCTTAAAAAATGTAAGCAGGACATACAGTAGATGTACATGCTAAAGTAGTACTAAATACTGATTAAAACTATGTTACCTCCACACAAAGTGCAGCTCACCTAAACCTATTTACATCGTCACAACATATCTGTTTAGACTCTGCTGACACAATCTTTGTTTAATTAAGTCCTTGATATCTTTGACTGGTATAAGGCTAGGGAAGACAAATTCTTTAATGGTTGTTGAATCCAAGAACATCTAAATGGCACTCCCAAAAGATTTCACTAGTGTTATGTCACCCAAATCAGATCTTTAACATTTAACAAATCTTGCTTTGGGAGAGATGAGGACAAACAAATCCAGCCTTATCACTGAGCTTATTCCAGGCAGAAATGTGTCATGAATTAATCATACAAGCAAACTCTTGTATCTCAACTGGAATGGAGCACTCTTTTTGCTTAAAAGGATATTGCAATCCCTGTGGGACAGCTAAGCTATTAATATGTCTATTCACAAACAAAATTCAGAGTTCTAAGGAAATATGGAAATGCCAAAACAGCTCTCCTGAAGACATGCAAAGCCTGAAATGAAAATATCTGGAAAACAATAAATCCACAGGAAATCTGATCTTTTTTCCAAGTTGTAAAGCAAAGAAACAAAAAACAACCCAGCTTCATGAAAGCAAATGTCACCATGCTGAAGAAGAGCACCCAACAACTGTTCTTTTGCCCAAAGAACTCAGTGCTGTCTGGGTACCAGTTAAGACATGGCGAGGATGGATGATCGACTGGAGATCCCAAGATGTGGACATCTCTCTAAACTTATTATGTATGCAAAATGATTGTCTACTAGCACAATATACAACATTTCCTTCATATTAATCGTAACACAAAGCAAGGCTATTGCCAGCAAGTAGAAGTATAATGCTGGAGAAGCACAGCAAAAAAAAACAAAAAAACAAAAAAACAACAACCCTTTGGCCATTATCTGGTCATTTCTTTCAGAGGAGCCCAGTAAAAACTCTGGTTCTTCACCTCATTCACCCTTCCTTTCTGTCTCCTGTGAGGAAATGCATACCTGTTTACAACTGGGAGCTCTGGTGCCCAGATACATTAAGCCTCTTGCTCAGGCTTGTATAAGGATGTCACTGGCAGGACCAGTGCAGATCTTGCAGAAGCTAAAAACATATTGGTTACCTGTTTTCAGATCTCTTGTCCTGGAGCAAAAAACTCTAATATTTATGTTCTTGAGCCAGTGATCTCTTAGGTATCCTCTGTTGAGCCATCCTGAAAGGAGAGACCATTTTTTACTAAGCATATATATTAGAGAAGCCACAGACAAGAAAGTCAAGTGTGAGAATGCAGCTTATAAAAACTGGTAACTGAACAGATTGCTTTACCCCTTGGCTCCTCTGTTTCACACCAATTTAAAACAGCTTCACCAGGGCTTTTAGCTATTAATGTCCTAGTAGTTAGTTTTTAACCCTGGGAAGAGGGAGAAAAGGTTCTTAAAACTGGCTTCCAGTAAAAAGACCAGACCACCCGGGATTAGGGGGAACCGGACAGATGAGGTTGGTCTTTATCCTTTGAATCTATCACAAGGGGAATGCTAGGCACCAGGACAAAACCAGATGGGCCATTTGCTTATGGTTCCGTTGACTGGGGGAATGTACACATTGGTGTGGAAAGGCCCAGGCTATTTTGTCATGGCTTCATTGGTCAGGGGAATGTAGGCACCTGCACTGCACAGCCTGGGCAATCTGCCCATAGTTCTATCAAACAAGACACCTCTCATCACACCAAACAGGGCTATTTGTAGCTCTGTAAATAGCTGACAGTACAAGATAAGGGAATTAAGAGAAAAAAAAAAAAAAAAGAGAGAAAGAAAAAGAAAAAAGATCAGAACTAACCAAACAGAAAATGCTGCAGACAGGTGGGAAACGTACCGCTGCCTTCACTGTGTTACTGTCAGGTGCAGCTCTGTGTGAAGCCTGGAAACCGATGCTGTTAATTTAAGGGGTTTTATCTCTCCATGTGCCATCAACATGCAACAAAATTATCTTCCAGGTGTGTACCACAAGCTCTTTCCTGGATCCTGTGAGCAAAACGAAACAGAAGTATTTTACATGCTGCAAGTATTTAAATTGGTTGGTTCACCAACCAAGAAAGAAAGAAAAACATAAATAAATAGAGAGAAAGAGGGAATCCCTATGGAAACAAAGCTTTCACTCCACTAACAGAGTTAGTCAGACAGAGACTGTCACCACTTATTAAGCTGGGCCAGAGAACCCTCAGGGCAAGTCCCTCTGCTATGATGGAGAAACTGAACCAGAGGAGAAAATAGCTCTTGGTTTGAAGTTAGCATATCCATAACGGGCATCTAAGCCTGGGAATGAACGCATCCAGCCCTCCAGCTCCCTGCTACAGACTGTGGCACAGCTCTCCATTGTCACCCTCTCCCCATAAAACCAACAGAGACAAACACACCCTGAGACATACAGAGGGGCAGAGTGGTACATGAGCTAAAATGCAGCAGACAGCCAGCAGACAGCAGGCAGGCACAAAGCCCTCCTATCCTGTGAGCTTGCTGCCATGTAGCTATTTCTGCTCTTCCAATGAATAAACCAGCTTGCTTTGTTTGAAAACAGGGTTCTCTCAGTGCTTACTCACCCTAAGCCAAGTTGTGTTTTCTAGCCCATAGTCCAAGTGACCATGCCAAAAGTGTGATCACAGTTCTCACTTCTGTCACAGATCCACTTCGTGCCTTAGTTTACCTAGCTCTAGAGCTCATACTAAAGCCATATTCCTAAAATGCTTCAAGAAATTTCAGTGTCAATACTGTATTTATACCAATAAACCCTGGGTTTCTCCAAGTGACATTCTGTTGTCACTTGGCTCAGAAACACAAGGAAGTAAACAGTGTTTGACAAGTTTCCATATATTTTCCAACCTGTAATAAGTGACTGGGCCCAGTAACCCCACTGACAGAAATGTAAACTAAAGCGTTTCCTGTTACACACTCGAGACGGAATGAAAGCAGGTATGCAGTCACGTGCTGTGTGTAATTTTTGTCTTTCAGGTGATTTATCGTGCCTTAACTCCGGCTAACAAGATCGAAGACCCCTACAGCCCCGAGGCTCAAGATCTCCTGAAACTCACCAACCTTCGCCTCCTTTTGTTAAAAAGACAGGAATGTCCATGCCACGGCTCAGGATTGGTAGAGAAACCTCAGAGGTTTGCCCACTATGCTATTTATGACCTGATCATCCGAGGAAGCTGCTTTTGCAATGGGCATGCAGAAGAATGTGAGCTTGCCAACCGGACGGGAGACATGGAGAACGTGGTGAGTTGTAGGCATTCACTGATTTCCTAGAATCGTTACCTGCTTGTGCTTTGTCTCCATACGACTGTGGATTGTGTGTATGGTCCTGTCCCATCTTCCTTAAGCCTGTCTAAAAAAAGACAGCACTCTTAATCCACTTCAGTGAAACCTAAAACACTCCGGGAAAAGATTTTCTATAATCCTTTATACAGTTCCAAGCTTTAATTGCATCACTAGAGATGAGATTTTCCAAAACCTCTGTATCTCCAAACACCTATAAACCGTGAGGGAACTTTGTAACAGAACAGAGGTCCAAATACAGGGATTGAAATCTACCTGCGCAGAATGAACCAATCTCTTTAATGCAAAGAGTGCCCTGACTTACCAGAATTTTATTATTAGATCTTGATTTTCAGATTTGCTGAGTTTGTGAGACATGAACAGCTCTGCCATACTTAGAGTTTCAGTCTTTACTTTTAGTTGTCAGCCTTGTATGTTTTTGTTAATTTCACTGCATGGCCAGAGGTGTTCAGCACCTGAAAATATTTTCTCTTCCCTCCCTTTTTACTATTTAACTTATTTGAAAATGTTAGAACTTAAAACAAAAAATAAAAGGAGCCAAACTTCATATGAATCATCTTCCATAGTACTATTACTGCCCCCTGTTCAGTGTTTTATATGCATGCTCAGATGTTGCTGTTCAGGGGTTATCACTGATGTCTACATTTTGATTTAGCTGCAAGTATTATGCAGAAGAATGGTAATAACAGTCACAGGGAAATGATGCTAACCCAATACCCAGGTACTTCTAAACATGTACATCACAGACAGACCTCAAGCCACTTTAAACTAGCCAATGATTCCACTGGTTCCAGTAGGCTGTCTATCCCTGTAATGCGTTTTGAAACCCAAAATAACCTTAATTTTTTTAGTCCCTCATGCACTCTGACAAAATAGATGTAAGAAATACATCCTCAGGTAACTTCTGTCCATTTAGATGTGTGGCACTTGACATTTTGGTTTATTTTCTTCTGGAATGTATATTCATTGTTTTTCAGCTCTTCTAAGTTGAGACGTAGATATTGTACAAATAATTAGGACTGCATGATTTCACAATATTTGCAAAATCATTTCTGAATCTGTACCATCTGTGGTATAAATCTAATTTACAGTACTCTAGTACTGGGTGATGTCATGAGGCTCTGTTAACTACAAATATAGACCCACATAGGACATAACTGTGTGGAGAAAACCTGTTTAAAGAGTGCATCCTCTCCATTGCAAACTGTTAAATACACACATGGTGAAACCAAATAGATGAATAACAGGCTAAATGAATACAGCTGGTAGAAGAATAAACACTCTGTCCATCAGAAGAGGAAAACAAGATATTGTGTATGTTACTGACATAACCATTGTAAACTATGACTGGAGGTTTTTTTACACCATTCACAAGGGAATAGAATCTTTGCGTGCCATCAATGACTTCATGGGGCAGAAGGTGAAGCAGTTTTGATGAAATGCACTTCATGAGTGAGTCATGTCTCAGGAGACCAGAGGGTGGATGCATCCCAGCATTCAACACAGGCACAGATATTATCAAGTCTTTGCCTAAGCAGGGATTCAAAGACAGCAGGAAGTAAGAAAAGCCTTCCAGAGCTTTAACTACTTCTTGAATCCTAGGTGAGGGCTGGAAAAGACTGTGATTGAGCTGCTTTAAGTCCTTGCATTAAGGTATGATCAAGCATACCTAAGCTGTTCGCTAGCGAATGCCCATTGAAATAGTTATTGAAAATCTCTAATTAGGGAGATTTAATAGCAGCCTTCAGTAGTTGTTACCATTCCAACAGTTTGAAAGCCCTTCCATGGTGCCTGCCTCAATAAGGTGGTTCCTTCTTGTCCCTTTTCCTCCAGTGATCATGGAGAGCAGTCAATTCTCATTCTGCTGATAGATCTGGAAGGTTCCTACCAAGTCCTCTCCTGGTTTTTGCTTTTTTGTACTAACCAGAGAAGCATGAAACCTCAGTGGTCAAAACTGAAAATTCTAATACAAGTTCATATAAGCCTGAAGTAAAGATGGTCTTATTATTTTGCTGCTGTTTTCTATGCTCTGGTCATTAAATCTTAGCTATTTTTCATATATACAGGTGAAAACTGGCTAAAATGACGGTATTCAAGCGAGTGTATAACTCTGCATCTTACAATATGGTAACCTCCTTGCCTACATACAGAAGGAAAAAGTTTCTGTTGTTGAGTGGCAAACACCAATGATACATAGTCATATTAGCCAAACTCCACTGCAACAAAAATCTTTGTCATCTTCCAGTTCTCCTTTCTCAGCAGAGAGATGGAAGTTGCTCTTCTTTCACACAAGGACTAAAACAGAACAGAGGAAAAGGATGTTAAAAACAAACACTGCCTGTTCAGAAATAATCTGGTTCATTCCACTAGCCACATCTAATATTTAACAAGCACATGGGCAGAGAAAGTCTCAAGACACAGAGTTTATTATGTGGCTAGCGTGGGTGATAAAACAGCATGAATGCAGAGCAACTTCAAGTTTCCTGCGTTCTGTCATGTAATTAAATAAAATGCTGGAAAAAATACAGACCTCCACAGAAAGGCCTAAGTAACAGGAGTCAACGTCTCTTAATATTTCAGAGCCCTCATGCAATGGTCTTTTCTGTACTTAACAAAAACAAAAGCAAGTCCATGTAGAAAACAACTGTAATTATTTGTCATGGGATAGGCCCAAAAACTGAGATCATTCTGCACTTAGGTCTTGGAAAAGATGTAATTGTTAATTTCTAAGTCTGCTTTTCTTACTCTTGAAAGAAATCTGTTCCATTTCTAATACTTGTTGCACTGCTATACTGTATGGAGACTAAATAATGGAGAAAACGAAAACAAATTTCTTGACAATTTTGAACTAACACTTTTCAACTCCATTCTGGTGCGTCTTGACGATTTATTACTAGTAGATAATCTATCAATCACCAGTTTATTTGTGGCATCTGTCAATTCAGTCAGGACAACCCATTCAGCTTCTGGCTTTTCTACAGAGGCTGCCAATAAGAAATGTAGCTGTATGAGAAGTAATGTCACAGATGCCACAGGTGTCACATCTAATGATACAAGACAAATGCAAATTATCATATTAACCCTCCAAATGGCATATAATTATTCCTACCTTGGAATCCTAGATAGTGTCATGTATATTGACTCTATTTGGCCGTAAGTCACTAGTGAAAATACTGAGTAAATAAGGTGCAAAGGATACCATGGAAAAGTCTTTTGGCTTCTTAGTTGGACTGCAAACCACTAATAATTACTCTTTCAACATGGCTTTTTTTTTTTATTTAATTAGTTTGCAACCACCTCAGTGCAATTTATCTAGATCTTATTTCCCATATTAACTACTGAGAGAATCGTGTCAGACAGGAGAAAAGCTTTGAGGAATGAAGATGGGAACAGTAAGCAATAGTCAATAAACTTGTGGGCAAGCATATATTGAATTTGGGGTTTGTTGCTAGAGACAGTGATATTCTCTTTTCTACTTCCCTTCTTCAGACCAAAGACAAGAGACGCAGAGATGCCATGCCCAACTTAAATAGCTTCTTATGATAACTATGGACAAAATTCTTCTTTCTTAATTTCATTGCCTGTAATATTCAAACTTTTTAAGGCAGCTCCTTTGTCAGTGAACAACACTGTCTATTGACATTGTATTTTGGTGAAGAAACTGCAGAGGTGCATTTGCTTTTAAGTGTAGGGCATGAATATGCTCTTATGAGGGAAACAAATACTAGGACCTAGCCACCTGAACACATCTAGTCATCTTCCACCATTGGATGGAATGGAAAGTAATCCTGTTCAAGATGTTGCTGATGAAGAGTATACAAGGGTATGTGTTGTTTTATAGCACACAATTCCTTTAATAAGCTCCAGCAAAGTTAGGAACCTTTCAGGTTTAGAATCTGCTTTGATGACATATTTTAGCTGAATCCAGGGGGGCTTCCAGAACTTACAATGTTTACAAAGCAGAAAGCACACATGGACAATTCTGTCTGAATCTAGACCAAATTCCTTTCCATTTGCCAAACATTTCACAATTCTCTTTCTGGTGCATGGGAAATAAGCATGGACGGAGGAAAGCAAATGTAGATTAAAATGTTACTGACTAAAGCATTAGTTTTTTTTTTACTCGTTAATTTTTGGTACCTTCACTGCCAGGAAATTCTTACAAGTTGCCTCGGATGTTTCTTTTCCTTCTTCATCCTGTTTACAGAGACAAACTAGACTCCCTGTGGGTCTGATCCTCCACAATGAAGCAAATGGAAAGTTTTTCATTTACTTCAAAGGGAGCAGGATCTGGTCCTAAGTAAGATTCCTTGTTTGGCATAAAGCGGGTTACATAAGGTAAAACTTGTTTTTCTACAGTGATTTTCTGGGCAACTTGGCTGTCATCTCTCTTGCAAATATTATCTCTTCTTCAAATATCTTGTGCAGTTCTTGATAATCCCTCAACTAAGTTTTCACATTATCTGATCCACGCTGTGCCAGTCTGTATGATGTCCAGCACTCAGAGCTGCCAGGAGGTGCACTATGCTGCAGCTGGCAACTCAAAGAGCAGGTTTTGTTTAGAAAAAAGTTAGTCTGAGTATCAGCCATGTGAGTAGCATTGTGAATGTTAAAAAGAATCACAAAAGCTTCAGAATAAATCATAGAAACAGATGCCTATGCCGATATGGCCAACCCCCAAATCAGCAATTCCTTCTGAGATGTTAAAAAAATCGCATCCAAGTGAAAATACCATACAACATTTCTGATTTTGATGGCTCTTCACCAGTAGACTCAAACTTGAACAAGATGGTCATGCCCACCCTGACAGCATCCCTTGCTACTTTGCTGTTTCAGCTAGAATAGCAGGGACATGTGTAAGCACTACTTCACCCAGTTATGAACCTGTCATTCAGGTAAGGTTCAGGTAAGGACAGGTCTGCCCACCCCCTACCTTTCCA